CCTTGATGACAGCTTTGCACACTCTTGACATTCTCTCAACCAACTTCATGAGGAATGCTATTCCAACAGTCTTGAATGAGTTCCCACATATACTGAGCTCTTGTTGACTTAGTTTCCTTCACTCTGCGGTCCAACTCTTCCCAAACCATCTCAATTGGGTTGAGGTCGGGTGATTGTGGAGGCCAGGTCATCTGATGCAGCACTCCTTGGTCAAATAGCCCTTACACAGCCTGGAGGTGTGTCTTAGGTCATTGTCCTGTTGAAAAACAAATGATAGTCCCACTAAGTGCAAACCAGATGGGATGGCGAATCGCTGAAAAATGCTGTGGTAGCTATTCTGGTTAAGTAAACCTTAAATTCGGAATAAATCACTGACAGTGTTACCAGCAAAGCACCATCACACCATCACATCTCCTCCTCATGCTTCACGGTGGTAACCACACATGCGGAGATCATCCGTTCACCTATTCTGCGTTTCACAAAGACACGGCGGTTGGAACCAAAAATCTCAAATTTGGACTCATCAGACCAAAGGACAGATTTCCACCAGTCTAATGTCCATTGCTCATGTTTCTTGGCTCAAGCAGGTCTATTCTTCTTATTGGTATCTGTGATGCGTGATTTGAAGGAGTCAGGTGCAGGAGGGTAAATCACAGTATACAGAGTTTATTCCGTAATCCAGCGTAACCAGTCCCCTGCGCAAAACAGGCGCACTGGAACAAACATGCACACAGGGAAAATCCCCCGGCAATACAAAATACTGAGCTACTAATCCTCACAATGAACAATCACCCACAAGGGCAAGGGGGCAGAGGGAACACTTAAACACGTACTAATGAGGGGAATATGAACCAGGTGTGTGTAATTGACAAGAAAAGGAGAAAGAAGGAAGGCTCGGCCAACCACCCGACTTACTGGCAATGCAATAAGGAGAATGAAGGGAGGAAGGGCGAGAAAAAGAAAGAAGAAAAAAAGAAAAGCGGGTCTTTATTAGTGCGAGTAACTTTGACACTTTGGGCAGAACGCGGAGCACCCAGCGCCAGTCCATCCGTCATCCAGCTCTCCCACTGATGATCCTCACAATGAACAATCACCCACAAGGACAAGGGGGCAGAGGGAACACTTAAACACGTACTAATGAGGGGAATATGAACCAGGTGTGTGTAATTGACAAGACAAGACAAATGGAATGATGAGATATGGAGCGACAGTGGCTAGAAGGCTGGTGACGAACGCCGAAGCCTGCCCGAACAAGGAGGGGAGGCAGCTTCGGAGGAAGTCGTGATAGTGTCCTTTAGTAGTGGTTTCTTTGCAGCAATTCGACCATAAAGGCCTGATTCACACAGTCTCCTCTGAACAGTTGATATTGAGATGTGTCTGTTACTTGAACTATGTGAAGCACTTGAAGCGTATCTAATAAGTTGGACACCAAATGCGCATCCATCAGGTATTATGCATAATTATTGAAAAACCACGTTAATGACAGTATCGATTTAGGTTTTAAGTATCAAGGTTAGGTGACTCTTTCAGTTAGAAACATTCAATTTTGCAATAGCATTTATTATTTGGGATTTGTGTGCCCATGAAAACTTTTTTCATCCCGTAACATTACATAGTTACATGTCATTTCTGAGATCTCTATACAAAAAACTGTCCAACAGCTAGATCCAGGATTCTTACAGGGTTCAAGTTCAATGTGTAATTTAACTGATTCATGTTTAATATATGATGACAACTTACACCACCATAAATACAAGGACAGAAAAGTAATGTTTTACGTCACACGATTTTGGATAAATCCGTGAAGACAGAAACTATGATAAAGGGTTAAACATAGGTTTTTAACTCGTGAATATGATTGCCAGATTATTATAAATAATTTATCAACAGCTGTAACCAGTTGTTGAGTGTAGGAAATCCTCACTGGTACCCTAGTTTATAGAAAAACCCACACTATATAATTTTTTCATGTGGGGTGCCTTTCTTACAGTATTCAATATAATGATGCCATTGTTACCTGGCTGTTGATGTATCTGTAAAGCTGTGACACTGAATCACCTCTTCCATTATTGGACCCCAGGGACCAGTGACTGGTAAATAGGCCAGGGCGCACGATCTTCTGCCCTGGCCTACAACACCTTTCAGGGGTTCCAGATATCTGTAAATGATGTCTGCTAAATGATATTTGCTGATGGCTTGCTGATGAGTTGATTAGTTGAATCTGGTTGGTTAGTGCTGGGCTATAACAAAAATGTACATTCCTGGGATTCCGTTGAGACTCACTTCTCCAAAAAATGCTTAGCATGGGGATAGAGGATGTCTACAGGGGGATTGAACATTGAACAGGAGTAAAGAGGAGGAGAGCTCTAGGAAATGGTCTACTAACCCTCCAGCCCTGTAAGAGATAGACCTTTAGTCTACACTGTATATCTATCTCCTGACTCACTGCCAAAACACAACACAGGTCAAGTCAGCCACAAGAAATACAGTACAGGAGTTATAGCTTTGTTTTCTCTCTCTGTACTCCGTGAGTTAGGTGTGTGTGTCTTGGATCCCGTTGGCTTTCTAAGAAAGAGAAGACAATGGCTATGTACTAAATGGCACCCTATTCCCCTATGGACCCTGGTCAAAAATAGTGCACTATAGGGAATATGGTACCATTTGGGATGCAGATAATACCATTTATTCATTCATTTCGAAGGAATGGTTATTCTAACAAACCTTACTTTTTTACTTTACTGAGCTCAGTTATTGACATCATCTGTCTAAATACTGTATCCATAAACTATTTTGAATATTTTATAGCTCATACTCGTACCCTGGGTCAGTATTTCTTTTTTTCTCTTGTTGAAGCCTCAGTGGCACCTGCAACACTCATATTGTACTATGCAACACATGCTGCATATTACAGTTAAACCAGTCTACTAAAAGAATAGTAGCAATGGAATGGAAGGCTTCAATCTTGCTGTACAAGCTTGATAACATGCTTTATTGTTCTTATTCATTCATTCATTCATTCATTTACATGATTACATGTATTATTTGTTTCAAATTTATATTTATACAGTACATAACTGTGTGAAGGCAGGCAAGGAAACCCATAAACAAACATTATGTCTAGTCTATACTGATGCAAGCAACAATAAAATATGTAAATAGCAGGCTACTGTTTTTCATTTGTTCCTCATTCTAGTGATGAAAAGTACACAGTGTGTTTCAAATCAACCAGCCATTATACCTAATGATCAAGCAGCTGTTTTTCAAATGATTCTATCATGATGTACTGAGAAATTATTGTTGACTACACCTATCAGTCCTCCAGCCAAAACCACAGTCCCAGAACTACCTTAAAATTGTGTTTGAGATATTCCTGCTGTAGAAGCTACAGATTATTCATTATTGGCTGAAAATATCCTAATTCCTCTGTTATTATGCTCTCATAATATCTCTTTGTGTCATATATTGTTTTTATTTGGCCTTTCTTTCTCTTTTCTTTCTCGCAATCTCTCTTGATATTCTCTTGTATGTCTTATTAGACCTCCCTTTCTACTCTTTCTTCCTTACTACTAGATAGTCGAGGAAGAGATAGAGAGTTCAGAGAGAGAGAGTAAGAGATCGAGAGCAGAGCGCGAGAGCGCGGAGCGGCGAGAGTAGAGAGAGAGATATCTCTCTTCTCTCTCTCTCTATCTACTATCTCCTCTCTCTCTCCTTCTCTCTCTCTCTTCTCTCTCTCTCTCTCTCTCTCTCTCTCTCTCTCTCGTTCTCCTCCGTCCCCCGCCCCCCTTACTGTGGTTATGTGTTATCTGCCGCGGCTCCATTTCCCTGCTGACTGATACTCCCTGACTCAGTCGCTTTCATTTTCATGATAATCCAGCAACACCACTAGACTGCCAAATCGTTTTTACTGCCCTTTTCTCTTCTTTTCTCCCTCTCTCTCTTTTTTCCCCTCTTTTTTCCCTACTGGTTTATCTCTTTTCCTTGGGGCTTTATTTTGCTCTCTGTAATTAAATGTCATTTCCAGCTCTCCCTTCTTCTTCCCTTCTTTTTTTTAGAGGGAAAGAAAAAAGTGTATTCTTTTATTATGTGATCATTGTCAAAATAGAATGGATGGATACGTCCTTGCCCTGTATCTGTAGAATGCGTACCAAATTCCACCCCATTGCCTTTATTGCGCATTACTTTTGACCAGAGACCTATGGGAATATACGCTTTTTGGGTCCAGGTAGGATCTTTTTGAGTTCCATGTATGGTTCTACCTTGAACCAAAAGTGTTCTACCTGGAACCAAAAAGGGTTCTTCAAAGGGTTCTCCTATGGGGACAGTCGAATAACCCTTTTAGGTTCTAGATAGCACATTTTTTTCCCCTAAGAGTGTAGGATGCCATTTGGTATGCAGACTATGTGTCTTGGCAGTACACTGAAACCCCACCACTATGGAGTGAAAACAATATCATTCTACATTTCTGAAAGCCTTTTATTCATTTGAATGAAAACAGCATCTGTCATCCTGTGTGTGACCCGTATAGTGCTGTAACTTCAGTTTCATATTCTACTCCATTGAAGTTAATTTCCATGGTAATAACATTGTTTTATCTCATATCATATATCCAGTAAGCTAGCAACCTGTACTACTACACTAATCAAGACTGACAGAACTATGCCATTTCAATTTGTGAGAATAATTTTAGATACTCCTACTACTCTTGTTTATAGCTACGTTTGTAGCTCAAATGTAATGTAGTGTAGTGTAACGTACGATTATATCAAATGCAGCATGTGCAAGTGTTGTTTGTTGGATTCTCTCTTACAAAATCATACCTTACTTGTCTTATCTCAATTTATTGTGAAATTCAGACATAGGGTTTATCAAAAACATTTTTGTTCTGTTTTGCTTGAAAGGAAATTGAACAGTAGAGGCAGAAGGCAGAAAAGGCAGAAATGTTGAAGTATAGCTACCAAATGTAAAAGTATGCTCGCTCAAGCGGACACAAGAAGAGTAATATGTGGAGTATGCAGAATGTAAAAAATCCTAACTCCAGCCAGCCCATTGCTCATCTCTAGTGCATGTGGGGTGGTTGGTGCGGCGGTGGTACACTCTTAGAAAAAAGGGTTCCAAAAGGCTTCTTTGCGGAGGATACAGGTTCTACCAAGAACCATTTTCATCTGAAGAACCCTTTTTGGAAGATGAGGGTTCATTGTAAGGCAAAGGGTTCTACCTAGAACCTTTAACATCCTAAGAACCGTTTTTGGAAAAAAATATTTTTTGATGATTCTTTGGAAGGCAAGAAAGGTTCTACATAGAACCCTTCTGAATCACAGCAAATTAGCCAGTGAGAGAGTAAAACATTCCCAGATTTTTTATGATTGTTTTTATTAACTTTGTTTTCCCATTTACATTAATTGATTGATTAATCTGATGCTACATAAAGATAAATAATATAAATGTTTCTAAACTAATCCAATCAGTTAAAATTAGATTTGTTGAACCTGTTACTGAAATGGTTGTTCCAGTTTAGATGGTTTAGGTCAGGGATACTCAACTCTTACCCTATGAGGTCCGGAGCCTGCTGGTTGTCTGTTCTACCTGATAATGAATTGCACACACCTGGTATCCCAGGTATAAATCAGTCCCTGATTAGAGGGGAACAATGAAGAAATGCAGTGGAACTGGCTCCGAGGTCCAGAGGTGAGTTTGAGGAGTTTAGGTAGTCTCCTGTACCAATGCTCCGAACCCTGGCGGTCATTCTGAATGCAGGTTGTGGGTGAATAAAAATTCCAACTGTTGGATATCATAACTCTGGCTGAATTCCAATAGGAATTATACATCACTTTGCAAGCTAGCATAATATGACTTGCAGGCCTGATGTGACCTGTAAACCAGGAGTTTTCTAACACCTCTGTGTTAGGGTAAAACTAGGCTATCAAAGTAAGGCCTTGTGATATATATAATTGTCATAAAGAGTTTAATTTTAAAGGCTAATAAGGCTCTAGGAAGGAACCTTCAAAGATAAAATGATTTTCAGTAGAACCATTCATATAGGGTTCTAGGTAGAATGAAGAAACATACATAGATGATTCTAAGTATAACCCTCGGCAAAGGGTTCGACCTAGCACCAAAAAGGGTTCCCCTATGGGGACAAACCGAAGGTTCTACTTAGCACCTTTTTTTATGAAAGTGTAGTGAGTGTGTGTTTGTGTGTGTGTGTGTGTGTGTGTGTGTGTGCAGGGGCAGACTTTTTTAACCAGCTCTTTTTAACCAGCTCATGATTAAGACAAATACAACATGTAAAAGCACCACTGGAGATACAACTCAACTCAACACTATAACAGTGCCTCTGTTGCCTCCCTGTTGTGCAGCCTGTCTCTGCATCTTCACTGCTGTCACTCTGTCTCTGTCTGTCTGTCACTCTGTCTCTGTCTGTCACTCTGTCTGTCTGTCACTCTGTCTCTGTCTGTCTTTCACTCTGTCTGTCTGTCTGTCACTCTGTCTCTGTCTGTCTGTCTGTCTGTCTGTCTGTCTGTCTGTCTGTCTGTCTGTCTGTCTGTCTGTCTGTCTGTCTGTCTGTCTGTCTGTCTGTCTGTCAATCTGTATCTGTCTGTCTGTCTGTCAGTCACTCTGTCTGTCTGCCTGTCTTTCACTCTGTCTGTCTGTCTGTCTGTCACTCTGTCTGTCTGCCTGTCTGTCTGTCTGTCACTCTGTCTGCCAGTCCTGCTATTACATATAGAGCCAACATATTAGGGACTTGCAGTACATCTGTGTCTCTCTGTTTTATTCTTACATTCACTGCACTCACCCCTGAGCTATCTCTGCAAAGCCTAGCATCCTTTCCCACAGCACCGGTACCAGAAGACCAGGGGACCACACTGCCTGTGCTGGGCCCCTCAACATCCTAGGGTAAAACTGTATTTTAAGGGTCCATATTAATCAATCATTTATAAGGCATTTACAAACCGTTAATAATTAATAATTACTCCCACATTTGTAAATGTTAGTAAGCTAGTTATTATTAGTCGCATGTACAGTGCCTTGCAAAAGTCTTCATACCCCTTGGATTTCTTCTATTGTGTTACAAAGTGGGATTAAAATGGATTTAATTGTAATTTTTTGGTCAACAATCTACACAAAGTACTCTAATTAAGAATTTCCAAAAAAAAAAAAAATGATTTATAGAAAATTAAATCACTCAAATATAGTCATTGCATAAGTATTCAGGTCCCTGGGTCAATACATGTTAGAAACACCATTGGCAGTGATTACAGCTGTGAGTCTTCATGGGTAAGTCTCTAAGAGCTTTGCACACCAGGATTGTGCAATATTAGCCCATTATTCTTTTCATAATTCTTCAAGCTCTGTCAAGATGCTGGGGATCATGGCTAGACAGCAATTTTAAAGTATTGCCATAGATTTTCAAGCAGATTTATTCTTCTTGGTAAGCAACTCCAGTGTATATTTGGCTTTGATTTGCCCCAAACATAAGGCTTTGCATTTCGGCCAAAAAGTGTATTCCTTTGCCATGTTTTTTTTTTTTTGCAGTATTACTTTAGTGCCTTGTTACATACAAGATGCATGTTTTGGAATATTTTTTATTCTATATATTTGTATTCTTCTTTTCACTCTGTCATTTAAGTCATTATTGTGGAGTCACTACAATGTTGTTGATCCATCCTCAGCTTTTCTCCCATCACAGCTATTAAGCTCTGTAACTGTTTTAAAATCACCAATGGCCTCATGGTAACATCCCTGAGCAGTTTCATTCCTGTCCTGCAGCTCAGTTAAGAAGGATGACTGTATATTTGATGTGTCTGGGTGGTTTAATACATAATCTACAACAACGACCCTAAGCACACAGCCAAGACAACGCAGGAGTGGCTTCGGGACAAGTCTCTGAATTTCCTTGAGTGGCCTAGCCAGAGCCGGGACTTGAACCCGATCTAACATCTCTGGAAGAGACCTGAAAATAGCTGTGCTGCGACGCTCCCCAACCAACCTGACAGCGCTTGAGAGGATCTGCAGAGAAGAATGGGAGAAACTCCCCAAATACAGGTGTGCCAAGCTTGTAGCGTCATACCCAAGAAGACTCGAGGCTGTAATCGCTGCCAAAGGTCCTTCAACAAAGTACTGAATAAATGGTCTGAATACTTATGTAAATGTATTATTTCAGTTGTTGTTGTTTTTTTTATAAATTGGCAAAAATGTCTAAAAACCTGTTTTTTCTTTGTCATTATGGGGTATTGTGTGTAGATTGATGAGGGGGAAAAAAACAATTTAATCAATTTTAGAATAAAGCTGTAACATAACAAAATGTGGAAAAAGTCAAGAGGTCTGAATACTTTCCGAAGGCACTGTAGATACTTTTTCTTCCACTTTGACATTACAGAGTATTTTGAGTAGATTGTTGACTAAAAATTGCAATTAAATACATTTTAATCCCACTTTGTAACTCAAGGGATATGAATAATTTTGCAAGGCACTGTATATATATATTTCCTTAAACATCCTGGATTGTGTGCTTGTTCTTTTGCCAGATACTGCAGGAATGGCATGCCTATCTTTTTATGAGAAATTACACTGGTCACTCAAAACATGTATAAAGTATTTATAAAGTATAAATAGAACTCACTTTAGATTAAGGACTACAAAACGACTTTAGTAATGATTAATACATGCCTTATACATGGTTTATTAATGACCCTTAAAATAAAGTGTTACCCATCCTAGTTGTGAATGAATAAACACTTTTATTAGACAAAAAAGAAAATCACTGAATAAATGCCTAATAGATGACCATTGGATTATATAATATCTTATAACAGCCTAACTACATACAGTGATCTCCATATGTATTGGGACAGTGACACATTTTTTGTTGTTTTGGCTCTGTACTCCAGCACTTTGGATTTGAAATTATACAGATGCACAAATATCATACCCCAAAGAAATGCTAACCTCTCACCATTAAAATAACGTGAGGTCAGCATATTTCTTTCTTTCGTCTGTAACTTTCTCACTCATCATTATTCACGATTCATTCAGGATTATCCGTAATCATGGTAGCATCCACATTAATGTAGAAGTGTTTAGAAACATATTATATTCTTATTTACAATAAAAGTGACTCCAAAATGACATAATACATCCTTTATCATTCATTTCTATTGGCCACAAAATAATCTGAACACAACCAAAACAAACAGAAAATGCATCCAACAAATTTGTAGAGTCACAAGTTTGATGTAGTCATTGCGTGCTCTGAACATGGGACCAAAGAAGGAGAGCGAGAGACTGCCAGTTCTTTAATGTTTTGGCTATATAATACAGCCAATGGCTACATTAACTACATTAAGGAACTGGCAGTCTCTCTCTCTGCCTCTCTCTCGCTGTTTTCTTCTATTGAATTCATTATACACCATGTGTGTTTTTCATAGAATGATACCAGGACTAGTTTATGTGGAAGCGGATAGATTTCCAGTGTTGTGCTTCGTTTGACAGTGCTGCACGCGAATGCATATCTTTCTGCCAAGAAGTGATGAGTTTTCAGTGTACGAAATAAGCGGGATATAGGCTGGACTTTTCAGCCTTCAGTGGTGGTTGCTATGTAATGTAATCTGCCCCTAGTGCTGGTCTGGAGCCTGATGTCACAAACTCTGCTGGTCGGCTACTGCGTAGCAACCTAGCGGTGCCAAAAGCCCTGGTCTGCCCTAGAAAGCTTATGTAAATTACGATCGCCAGAACGGCCAAACAAAAACATTTTAAATGGCCGTTTTGGCCGCTAAAATTAATTTATTATGATCAAGTTCAATCCCGCGGTGAATTATTTTAAAGTTACCTACCAATCGAGATATTTAATTAATTTGTGATCCATTCTGACTACCTCATTTATCATAAATGACTAAAATGTAAATGTAAATGTAATAACGCAGAACCACATGCTGATACAGACCAATCACGGGCTGGCAGGCTAATAGGAGGCTCGCACTCTCATGCCATAGACATTAAGGTTGACTCACTCAGGCAGGATGAAAACTACTACATCGACCATGATCCTTTGTTAGTTACGGCCACTTTCACCATGATCCCTAGGGATTTTTTGGGGCCATTCAGCCCCATTCAGCAATATGGCACGCTTCAAATTCTAATTCTTCTGGAGTTTTCCATAGGAATACGTGGATGACGTCAGCGCTATGACTATCTACTGGTTTTAATGTCTATGCACCAGAGGTACTCATTACGACAGCTCATAAACCACTCGCTGGGCTGAAGAGACTGAGATTCAGAAGAGAATAAACATTGACAAAGCAATTAAAATAGACACAGACAGTCCCCAAATGTACCTTTATTGTAATACATGATGACTTGTGTTTAATAAAAAGCTCTGTGTAAATGTCTAGTAGATGGCTATTGCCTTACCTATGTGTTATAAAAGCCAATCTAAGGACATGTTAGGCTATATTGCAGGTAACCTAGGGTCTAAATGTTCCCCCGAATCCCCCCTTCCCTAATTAGCCTACTATAGTAGGTATGAAATATATACTGAACAAAAATATAAACGCAACATACAAAAATGTCAATGTTTCTGAGTTACAGTTCATAGAAGGCAATCAGTCAATTGAAATAAATAAATGTGGCCCTAATCTATGGATTTCACATGACTGGACAGGGGCACAGCCATGGGTGGGCCTGGGAGGACATAGGCCCACCCACTGGGGAGCAAGGCCCAGCCAATCAGAATTAGTTTTTCCCAACAAACAGGCTTTATTACAGACAGACATACTCCTCAGTTTCATCAGCTGTCCGGGTGGCTGGTCTCAGACGATCCCACAGGTGAAGAAGCCGGATGTGGAGGTCCTGGGCTGGCGTGGTTACACTTGGTCTGTGGTTGTGGGGCCGGTTGGACGTACTGCCAAATTCTCTAAATCGACGTTGGAGGCAGCTTATGGTAGAGAAATGAACATTAAATTCTCTTGTAACAACTCTGGTGGACATTCCTGCAGTCAGCATGCCTATTGCACACTCCCCCAAAACTTGAGACATCTGTGGCATTGTGTTGTGTGACAAAACTGCACATTTTAGAATGGCCTTTTATTGTCCCCAGCACAAGCATCTGTGTAATGATCATGCTGTTTAATCAGCTTCTTGATATGCCACACATGACAGGTGGATGGATTATCTTGGCAAAGGAGAAATGCTCACTAACAGGGATGTAAACAAATGTGTGCACAACAGTTTAGAGAAATCTTTTTGCGCATATGGAACATTTCTGGTATATTTTATTTCACCTCATGAAACACAGGACCAACACTTTACATGTTGTGTTTATATTTTTGTTCAGTATATTTCATACAATATACAGCCAAAATATTAGGCATAACTGGCAGCAGTAGGCTACATGATCTGTGTCAGTGTGCGTGAGTGTCTTTGTCCATTTTCTTCCTACCTCGACCGCACCACAGCAGCTGATCTGTAATTTCTCACAGATACAGACCACACTCGGACCAGCAGAAGCAGAACGTTTAGCAAATAAATCGGTTAATTTCACACATTTATTAGCGTTGGCCTCAAGAATCCTTTTTTTGGTCTCTCTACCTTTCCATTTTTCTGTTCTGACTGAGTGACTGACAGAGAGTCAGAGCGGGTTTCACTCCCTTTGATGATGCACGTTTGACTTTGAATGTAAGTTTGCGCCACCTCAGTTCAGCCAATCAGAAAACCGGACCAGCACATCTTGGTAGGGGGACCAGCCGTTGTCACTGGTCAGCCAAATGCTTAATATAGATTATTCTGAGAAATTATTCTGAGAAATTGTCCGGAGGAAGCATGACTCGACCTTCACCTCTCCCGAGCCTGTTGGGGAGTTGCGGCGATGAGACAAGCTCGTAATCACGAAATTGGGGTGAAAAAAGGGGTTAAAAAAAATATACACTACCGGTCAAACGTTTTAGAACACCTATTCATTCAAGGGTTTTTCTTTATTTTTACTATTTTCTACATTGTAGAATAATAGTGAAGACATCAAAACTATGAAATAACACATATGGAATCATGTAGTAACTCAAAAAGTGTTAAACAAATCAAAATATATTTTATATTTGAGATTCTTCAAATAGCCACCCTTTCCCTTGATGACAGCTTTGCACACTCTTTGCATTTTCTCAACCAGCTTCACCTGGAATGCTTTTACAACAGTCTTGAAGCAGTTCCCACATATGCTGAGCACTTGTCTGCTGCTTTTCCTTCATTCTGCGGTCCGACTCATCCCAAACCATCTCAATTTGGTTGAGGTCAGGGGATTGTGGAGGCCAGGTCATCTGATGCAGCACTCCATCACTCTACGTCTTGGTCAAATAGCCCTTACACAGCCTGGAGGTGTGTTTTGGGTCATTGTCCTGTTGAAAAACAAATGATAGTCCCACTAAGGCCAAACCAGATGGGATGGCGTATCGCTGCAGAATGCTGTGGTAGCCATGGATGTTAAGTGTGCCTTGAATTCTAAATAAATCACAGACAGTGTCACCAGCAAAGCACCCCCACACCATAACACCTCCTCCTCCATGCTTTACGGTGGGAAATACACATGCAGATATCATCCGTTCACCTACACCGCGTCTCACAAAGACACGGCGGTTGGAACCAAAAATCTCCAATTTGGACTCCACCGGTCTAATGTCCATTGCTCGTGTTTCTTGGCCCAACCAAGTCTCTTCTTCTTATTGGTGTCCTTTAGTAGTGGTTTCTTTGCAGCAATTTGACCATGAAGGCCTGATTCACACAGTCTCCTCTGAACAGTTGATTTTGAGATGTGTCTGTTACCTGAAATCTGTGAAGCATTTATTTGGGCTGCAATTTCTAAGGCTGATAACTCTAATTAACTTATTCTCTGCAGCAGAGGTAACTCTGGGTCTTCCATTCCTGCGGCGGTCCTCATGAGAGCCAGTTTCATCATAGCACTTGATGGTTTTTGCGACTGCAATTGAAGAAACTTTCGAAGTTCTTGAAATGTTCCATATTGACTAACCTTCATGTCTTAAAGTAATGATGGACTGTTGTTTCTCTTTTCTTATTTGAGCTGTTCTTGCCATAATATGGACTTGGTCTTTTACCAAATAGGGCTAACTTCTGTATACCCCCCTACCTTGTCACAACACAACTGATTGGCTCAAACAAATTAACTTTTAAGACGGCACATCTGTTAATTGAAATGCATTCCAGGTGGCTACCTCATGACGCTGGTTGAGAGAATGCCAAGAGTGTGAAAAGCTGTCATCAACGCAAAGGGTGGCAACTTTGAAGAATCTCAAATGTGAAATATATTTTGATTTGTTTAACACTCTACAATGTAGAAAATAGTAAAAATATAGAAAAACCCTTGAATGAGTAGGTGTGTCCAAACTTTTGACTGGTACTGTATATACACAGTACCAGTCAAAGGTTTGGACACACCTACATCAAAACTATGAAATAAATCAAATAATATTTATATTTCAGATTCTTCAAAACAGCCACCCTTTGCCTTGATGACAGCTTTGCATACTCTTTGTTACATTACAGCCTTATTCTAAAATTGATTAAATATATTTTTTCCTCATCAACCTACACACAATACCCCATAATGACAAAGTGAAAACATGTTTTTAGAAATGTATGCACATTTATTAAAAATAAAAAACAGAAATACCTTATTTACATAAGTATTCAGACTAGGTGACTACCTCATGAAGCTGGTTGAGAGAATGCCAAGAGTGTGCAAAGCTGTAATCAAAGCAAAGGGTGGCTATTTGAAGAATCTCAAATATAAAATATATTTTAATTTAGTAAAGAAAAACCCTTGAATGAGTAGGTGTTCTAAAACTTTTTAAAACAGGCCCATGGGCCATGTTATTATTAAATGTTCTATATCATTTTTATTTTGTATTTTTTTTTTAATCAATTTCGACCATACCACCCCTTCTGGCATTTGCCAGAATTGCCAGACGGCCAGTCCGCCAATGTGTGTGTGTGTATGTATGTGTGCGGGGGGGAGATTTTGACTCCTCTCAGTGACAGCAGATCAATGGTAGATGAGAGGGCAGAGGGAGAGATAGAAATGAATTGATTGTCACAAATAAAACTCCAATTAAGCAAATGAATAGCCTGTCTGAGAGAGAGAGAGAGAGAGAGAGAGAGAGAGAGAGAGAGAGAGAGAGAGAGAGAGAGAGAGAGAGAGAGAGAGAGAGAGAGAGAGAGAGAGAGAGAGAGAGAGAGAGAGAGAGAGAGAGAGAGAGAGAGAGAGAGAGGTATCCTCATATTACTCTTCTGGGAGAGAGAGCAATGTCAGCCATGGGATGGTGGACAGGCAGGGAAGGCCACATCCTCCAGCCACACACACACACACACACACACACACACACGCTCTCACTCGATCACTCAATCTTTATCTCTCTAGGAGGAGGATAGCTTTTAAAGGATAAATGTGAGTATAAGTGAACTGTAGATCAAGGATCAGACCATTGCAGCTGCCAGCTCATTGATCCAAAGCTTCCTAACGATGAAAATAGATCTTAATTGTAACAGTCATTGACAGATCAGAAGTCAATTCCACCTGACACCCTAACCCTCTAGCATTTGATAAGTGAGTATGAACCTACTCTCTTCTTGCTGTATCGAACATGCTCTGGCTTTCCAATCAATGCATGTGCTTCCCAAATGGCACCCTCTTCCATATATAGTGCACTCCTCATGACCAGAGCTCTATAGGCCCTGGTCAAAAGACCCTGGAATAGTAGTGCAATACACAGGGAGTAGAGTACCAAAATTGGGACAGAGCCTGCTTCTCTCTGTATGCACTTACAGTAGATTGGCTACTTCTGCGCTCCTCTTTCCTAAATGGTTAAGATGCTTTTTGCTCATAGACCCACCAAATTAAGTTAAAGTATTATTAATGTTTCAACATCCCCTAGAGAAGGCACATGTTCTTGCTCTTCTCTCTCTTCTTCTTTCATCTCACATTTTCCTTAGCTTCCTCTCTCTCCTGCTATGTCTCGTAATCCAATTATTTTCCTGGTAAATTGCCTGCCTGTATCATACATATGTATACAAGATTTTACCTGAATAATCACTCCATCTTTATCCTTTCCCCTCCCAAAACATAAGCTTGACAAATAAATGGAAGAAAGATAGAGAGAGAGAGAGAGAGAGAGAGAGAGAGAGAGAGAGAGAGAGAGAGAGAGAGAGAGAGAGAGAGAGAGAGAGAGAGAGAGAGAGAGAGAGAGAGAGTGAGAGAGAGAGAGAGATAATCTTGTGTAAAATCATCTTAGCTGTGAAAAGTTACTGACATATATCATGCTGGTATGCCAAATAACACAGATGCATTACTTCAATGGACCACCTGTCACTTAGAGGTGAACTGAGTTTGGTGAGTAAGATTATTGGGTTGATTTGAAGCACTTGTACAGTGTGAAGACATCATCTATTTCTGTCAGAGAAGTGGAAAAGATTGCTTCACTATGATTATTATCTGAGGGAGTCAGAGGGATGGCTATATTTGTCAGCTTTTCAGGTGTAGGCCTACAGTACTTAGGTATTTTAATGGTACTGTGGAATTACTTTGTGTATTTACAGTACCTTCAGAAAGTATTCATACCCCTTGACTTATTCCACATTTTGTTGTGTTCCAGCCTGAATTCAAAACCCATCTACACACAATACCCCATAATGACACATTTTTTGGGGGAAATGAAATACAGAAATATCTCATTCACATAAGTATTCATACCCCTGAGTCAATACTTTGTAGAAGCCCCTTTGGCAGCGATTACAGCTGTGAGTCTTTCTGGTTAAGTCTCTAAGATCTTTCCAAACCTGGATTGTGCAACACTTGCCCATTATTCTTTTCAAAATTCAAATTGGTTGTTGATCATTGCTAGACAACCATTATCAGGTCTTTCCATAGATTTTAAAGTAGATTTAAGTCAAAACTGTAACTCTGCCACTTAGGAACATTCACTGTCTTCTTGGTAAGCAACTCCAGTGTAGATCTGGCCGTGTGTTCTTCTAGGATTTTGACTGTGCTTAGCTCCATTCCATTTCTTTTTTTCCGGAAAACCTCCCCAGTCCTTAAGGATTACAAGCATACCCATAACATGATGCAGCCACCACTATGCTTTGAAAATATGGAGTGGTACACAGTAATGTGTTGTGTTGGATTTGCCCCAAACATAATCCGTTGTTTCTTTCCTCTCCGGCAACTGAGTTAGGAAGGACGCCCGATCTTTGTAGTTACTGGGTGTATTGGTACACCACCCAAAGTGTAATTAAAGGGATATTCAATATCAGTCTTTTTTTTACCCAACTACCAATAGGTGCTGTTCTTTGCGAGGCATTGGAAAACCTCCCTGGTCTTTGTGGTTGAATCTGTGTTTGAAAAAAAATCTGTGTTTGACAAAAACTCTCAATTAAATCCATTTTAAATTCAGGCTGTAACACAACAACATTTGGAAAAGGTCAAGAGGTGTGAATACTTTCCGAAGGCACTGTATGTAGCTAATGCGGCTTTATGTACCTTCACTGTTCTGGATTTTCCGGTCTGTGTGCATTTCTGGAAGTATGAATTATTTATTTTATTTATTCTGCATAGTCCTTTCAGCAACAACTAGCATTGATTTTCAAGGAATCCTATGGAGCTATACCCTCCCTTTCCTGCTGTGTTTGAAGCAACATTGCTGACTCCATACATTCAACCCTAATCCCTGACCTCACTGTGTGATCTCCTGGCGTGTGGCTAATTTGCTAAAACATCGTCTGCTCCTCGTGTGAGAGGAACCATTTCACCCTTTACCAACCCCTACCCAGTGTGTCTTTGATTTATAATATGCACCATATATTTAGTTTACCAACCTCGGTGCAGTGTTCTTACTAGGGCTGTGGTGGTCATGAAATTTCGCCAGCCGGTGATTGTCAAGCAAATAACTGCCAGTCTCACGGTAATTGCCATTAATTAACATAAACACATTTAGCATCTCCTGGCTTCCACACATAGCCTGCAATCAACTGATGCAGACCATTGGAACGTCTACATTTAAAAAAGTCTAATACATGTAATATAGCCTACACCTTCACAATAAATCCATTATTTATTTTAGACATGTCTAAAGAAACATGATATGAAGAAAATGTAGTCTATTTCAGAAGAACAGAATAGCATACTCTGAGTTGTCCTTATGTTAGGTCCTGATCTGGCTATGCCATATGGCTGTGGGCTACACTAGTTCATTTAGCAGACAAGATTTGCTTAGAATTCTGTGGCAAAACAAAGCTAATTAAAATAGAAAGGATATTTTCTCCAAACAATTTGAGGGAGTGCGCACATGTGGCTATTCTCTGTTGAGCGGTTAACAAAGAAACAGGTACTCCTATATGCTTAATTTAGAGTTATTAATGAGAGCTATATGTTTTGATTTTTTATACATTCTTAGGCTGTATGATGCGACTCTAATGATGATTTGAAAAAAAGTTGCATAAAAGGCATGAGATCTGCTTAGTTTTTTGCGCATGCTGTACACACTTCATCAGTCTCTCATTCACAATTTGACAAGTACTTGATCATTTCCCGGTGGCATCGCCTTTCCCGGTGGCATCGTAATGCCCCCTAAAAAAATCCATGCCTTTTGCGGCCAGTGGCCGTTGTGCCCTTGGGCTGAATATAATAATTTTTAATACTCTGAAGCACCTCTCACTCACATGGCTCTCCGTCATGTGATCGGGTCTTTCTCACAGGCTACAAGTGAAGACAGACACATTGGGGGTGCAACTGTGCACATCCTTATCCAATTCCGAGGCGCATATTGAAGATATTGGAAGAACTGTCCACATTTACTTTTCGTCAGCCAACAAGATGAATAGGCCTAACGAACAGCAAAAACACTAGCCTATGTCAATCTACTATCCCCCATAGTACAAAAGTTGACCTATTCTGTGCAAGAAATCAATATTCTCTGACATAGTCTGGGACAGTCGTGGGATGCGATAGATCCCAAATTAATACAACCACTAGCATCAAAAACACTTTTTTTATGCAATGAGGCTGACGCAACAGATCAGAACGTTTAGCTTAAAATGTTGATAAACTATTAGGCTATTTCTTCACATTATAAGCGCTGTCACACCCTGGCTCTGGGGACTCTTGTATGTTGAACCAGGGTGTTAGTTTCTTTGTGTAGTGTCTATGTTTTCGTTTTCTATGTTCTGTTCTAGGTTATGTGTTTCTATGTTGGCCGGGGTGGTTCTCAATCAGAGGCAATGAGAATCAGCTGTTGCTTGTTGTCTCTGATTGGGAACCATACTTAGGCAGCCTGTTGTGTACTTGTGTTTTGTGGGATCTTGTTCCGTGTATGGTTTGTGTATGTACCCAAGGACTTCACGTATCGTTTTGTTGTTTTTGTTCGTGTGGTGAATATAATAAAAGTATGTTCGCATTCCACACTGCGCATTGGTCCACTCCTTTCAACGATCGTGACAAGCGCAGCAATGAGCATAAGGCAGTAGGCTATAAGCGCAAATGTTCCATTAGCGGGAAAACTCTATTTTCAAAAGTGACCGCAAATGTGCTTATGCATGTAATGCTTTTATTGTAAAGGTGCGTTTTTATGGTGAAAATTATCTTCCCCAAACTTGAAACTCACGCGTTGCTTATGTATGCCAGTTAGGCTCTACACCCGTTGTAAAACGGATTAATGTGCTCAATTTTAAGAAGTTATTTGGCCACTTTAGTTGTGATACAAACCTCTGTAGCTCAGCTGGTAGAGCACGGCACTTGTAACGCCAAGGTAGTGGGTTCGATCCCCGGGACCACCCATACACAAAAAAAATTGTTTTATGCACGCATGACTGTAAGTCGCTTTGGATAAAAGCATCTGCTAAATGGCATATTATTATTATTATTATTATCAATACATATAGGCCTATGGGCTAGGCTACATGAGGTGTGGGACTATGATTTTAAAAAGTTGCAAAAAAAGGTATGCATTGTTTATAATAATATAATAATAATAATACATTTTTGTTAAAAAATTAAAATTGTTTCTTGCCTTATGCGGGGCATTGTTCACAAGTGATAATATATCATTCACAAGTGCAAGGCTAATATTGTCACCCATCAGACTATTCTTGATTTAATCTTGTCTTTACATATACTAAATAATATGTGTGAAATTTGTTTTGATTTAGAATGGACCATTATCATGCACCTGTCTCAAATGGGGGCAGGGCGAAAAAATTAATGTAATCTATGCACTTAAATAGCAAATGGAGGACACTTTTCCCATGGTTCATTTTCATGCCAGCCAGGTAGGCTATACTCCTGTTGTAAAGACAAGCAATGTGCTTAATATTAGGAAAATTGAGATATAAATATAGTAGGCCTAGCCTATAGAAACCTCCTCTTTTTAATAGAAGCCATCACTCTGTTTTCTCACTCAATTGCATAGCCTATAGAAATGTTGCGCAACATGAGCTCATTGGCTGTCATGAAGTGTTTGATTCGATTTTCGATCACATTTGCATTGATGTCAGAGTGAGGGACAATAGAGTGCTGAAAACCAGGCAATTAGCAAGTTTGGTAGGCTACTAATGACCATCAGCAGCATCATAGCTTGGAGAAGCCTAATTACCATGACTAAACGGTCATGTGCAATTTGACTGCCTTCATGACTCGTGACCGCCGGTGTGGCAGTAATACGGTCCCCTTAACAGCCCTAGTCCTTACCAACCTCTACCTAGTGTGTGTCTTTGATTCAAGATAGTCACTTTTGATGGACAAATGTAGCTTCAATCTCTCTGTAAGGGTGAATGTCCTGGACTGACTCCAGATATAAAATAAGCACTGTAGCACTCTTCCTCACTGATGCATTCAGATGGGGTACTCTGTCTGCTCTATACTTCAACCTCTTTCTGTTTCGGGATACAGCTTCAGCTGCTGAAATGGGAATGACAAGTCCAGGTTACCACATGGATATTGTAGCTGCTGTGAGGTGTAAGCAGGGGTAAGGCGGTCCAGTACAGTGTCCAAAAATATATATTCAATAAATATTGGGGGTACGCCGTACTGGTAAAACATGAGCCTATCACAATAATGGAAACAAAATGTCAAGAAAGCTGTAGGCTAATACATCACTTTTTATCATTACCACATGTCAGAAGCATGAAAAATGTGCGAATGGACTTGAAAATGGGTGGTATAGCCTACACTCCAAAATGTGGTTTGATGAGATCACTAAGCGTACCCTAAAGTAAATTGAATTAAATTGCCAAAATAATATAACCTAATTAGCCAACTCCTGCTATACACAAATAAATAAAATCATTCAAAATTGGCTACTACACCAAAAAGCATGATTTGGCCACAGAGGATCATTAGCTTATTTAGCTTGTTTTAAATCGCATTGTATCTATCATGAAATAATTCTTTAATATTGTGTATAAACATACAGTGAACTGTCACCTCTCCTCCCGTTGCTCCCCTCCGGCGCTCTGATTCGCCGGTCTACTGAGCCACCGGTCTGAGCGCACCACCTCGGCAACACCGGAATGGAAACCCAACGCACCCTAATCACATCCAGCGCACCTGCACATCATCATCTCATCACCACCCCTATATAGCCCTGGACTGTTTAGTGTCTTGTCGTGTACTCGCGCATTGTTGTTCTCGTGCTCAGTGTTAAATAAACCTTTACATTGTTGATTCCTGCGTCTGCGTCCTGCCTCTTCGTATCCTCAGTACTCGTCACATGAACATACAGTACCAGTCAAAAGTTTGGGCACACCTACTCATTCATGGGTTTTTCTTTATTTTTACTATTTTCTACATTGTAGAATAATAGTGAAGACATCAAAACTATGAAAGAACACAAATGGAATCATGTAGTAACCAAAAAAGTGTTAAACAAATCAAAATATATTTTATATTTGAGATTCTTCAAATAGCCACCCTTTTCCTTAATGACAGCTTTGCACACTCTTGACATTCTCTCAACCAGCTTCACCTGGAATGCTTTTCCAACAGTCTTGAAGGAGTTCTCCCATATGCTTAGCACTTGTTGGCTGCTTTTCCATCACTCTGCTGTCCGACTCATCCCAAACCATCTCAACTGGGTTGAGGTCGGGGGATTGTGGAGGGCAGGTCATCTGATGCAGCACACCATCACTCTCCTTGGTCAAATAGCCCTTACACAGCCTGGAGGTGTGTTTTGGGTCATTGTCCTATTGAAAAACAAATGATAGTCCCACTAAGCCCAAACCAGATGGGATGGCGTATCACTGCAGAATGTTGTGGTAGTCATGCTGGTTAAGTGTTCCTTGAATTCTAAATAAATCACAGACAGTGTCACCAGCAAAGCACCCCCACACCATAACAGGTCCTCCTCCATGCTTTACGGTGGGAAATACACATGCAGAGATCATCTGTTCACCCACACTGCGTCTCACAAAGACCCGGCGGTTGGAACCAAAAATCTCCAATTTGGACTCCAGACCAAAGGACACATTTCCACCGGTCTAATGTCCATTGCTCGTGTTTCTTGGACCAAGCAGGTCTCTTCTTCTTATTGGTGTCCTTTAGTAGTGGTCTCTTTGTAGTAGTGGATTTGTCTCCTAGTGTCTGTTGGAAAGCAGACTGAACCAGGTTTTCCAGGATTTTGCCTATGCTTAGCTCTACTCCCTTCCTTTTCTACCCATAACATGATGCAGCCACCACCATGCTTGAAAATATGAAGAGTGGTATTCAGTGATGTGTTGGATTTGCCCCAAACATAATGCTTTGTATTCAGGACAAAAAGTTAATGTCTTTGCCGTATTCTCTGCATTATTACTTTAGTGCCTTATTATAAACAGGATGCATGTTTTGGAATATTTTCTATTCTGTACAGGCATCCTTCTTTCCACTCTGTCATTTAGGTTAGTATTGTGGAGTAACTACAATGTTGTTGATCCATCCACAGATAATTGTATGTGTGGTGTACAGAGACGGGGTGGTCATTCAAAAATCATGGTAAACACCATTATTGCAGAAAGAGTTAATTCATGCAATTTATTATCTGACTTGTTAAGCAAATTCTTCAGCTTTTTTCAGGTTGACATTTTTTATTAATTTGTAAACATTTCTAAAAACATAATTCCACTTTGACATTATGGGGTATTGTGTGTAGATCAGTGACACAAAATATAAATGGAATACATTTTACATTCAGGCTGTAACACAACAACATTTGGAAAAAGTCCAGGGGTCTGAATACTTCCTGAAGGCACTGTACATCCAATGTAGCCTGGATATTGTAGCTGCTGTGAGGTGTATGATTTAGCTGACCTCTAAAGCTCCAATTTGGAGTTCAGGCTTCTTGCTGGTGTGATGACCATGGAGCCAAAATAATGTAATAACCGCAATGTTCACCACACACACACACACACACACACATACACACACACACACACACACACACACACACACACACACACACACACACACACACACACACACACACACACACACACACACCAAGACCATGGAGCCTCTGCATAACACCATGCTGACAGAGCTGTGATGATTAGGTTTAATAATGCTGTGTAATTCAGTGTTAGTCTGAGAGATTGCCACACATGGAGATACCTGACATCACTGCTGACATGGCTGTCAGAGAAGGTTAACCTCTGCATGCATTTGTTACATGTACATTCATTACATAGCCTACATGTATAATGTATTATTGTAATTGTGCTAAAACCTCCATGACACGTAACAAAATACACTGGAATTACAGTACACCTACGTATAAAATGACTGTGTCTTTCTATGGAAATTATGTTTAAATAGGTTTTTAGACACTTACTGACTTTCTTGGTGATACTATTATATCATTATTATCTCGCAGTCATATGACCTATCTTTGATTTAGATTATGTGAGTTCACTGCCCCCCCCTCCTCCTCAGACACACACACACATAGCGACCCACCCAGGGGACCCCAGCAACTGTTAAGAATCCACCAGCAACTCGTTATCAGATCAATAGCCATTCATCAACATCTGTCTTTTAATTAATTCAGCCAGCGCTCAATATACTTCCAGTCATTTCACCCCAATCAATTCACCTTAAAACCAGCCCTCTGAGGCCCCCTTGGCCCCATGTTAATGAAAGAGATGGAGAAATACATACATTCATTGAATGAGTGTCTGCGTTCCAAATGGCACCCTATCCCCTATATAGTTCACTACTTTTGACCATAGCCCTATGGCCAAACCCTATGGGCCCTGGTCAAAAGTAATGCACTATACAGTGGGGGAAAAAAGTATTTAGTTAGCCACCAATTGTGCAAGTTCTCCCACTTAAAAAGATGAGAGAGGCCTGTAATTTTCATCATAGGTACACATCAACTATGACAGACAAAATGAGAATTTTTTTCTCCAGAAAATCACATTGTAGGATTTTTTATGAATTTATTTGCAAATTATGGTGGAAAATAAGTATTTGGTCAATAACAAAAGTTTCTCAAAACTTTGTTATATACCCTTTGTTGGCAATGACACAGGTCAAACGTTTTCTGTAAGTCTTCACAAGGTTTTCACACACTGTTGCTGGTATTTTGGCCCATTCCTCCATGCAGATCTCCTCTAGAGCAGTGATGTTTTGGGGCTGTCGCTGGGCAACACGGACTTTCAACTCCCTCCAAAGATTTTCTATGGGGTTGAGATCTGGAGACTGGCTAGGCCACTCCAGGACCTTGAAATGCTTCTTACGAAGCCACTCCTTCGTTGCCCGGGCGGTGCGTTTGGGATCATTGTCATGCTAAAAGACCCAGCCACGTTTCATCTTCAATGCCCTTGCTGATGGAAGGAGGTTTTCACTCAAAATCTCACGATACATGGCCCCATTCATTTTTTCCTTTACACGGATCAGTCGTCCTGGTCCTTTTGCAGAAAAACAGCCCCAAAGCATGATGTTTCCACCCCCATGCTTCACAGTAGGTATGGTGTTCTTTGGATGCAACTCAGCATTCTTTGTCCTCCAAACACGACGAGTTGAGTTTTTACCAAAAAGTTATATTTTGGTTTCATCTGACCATATGACATTCTCCCAATCCTCTTCTGGATCATCCAAATGCACTCTAGCAAACTTCAGACGGGCCTGGACATGTACTTGTTTAAGCAGGGGGACACGTCTGGCACTGCAGGATTTGAGTCCCTGGCGGCTTGTGTGTTACTGATGGTAGGCTTTGTTACTTTGGTCCCAGCTCTCTGCAGGTCATTCACTAGGTCCCCCCGTGTGGTTCTGGGATTTTTGCTCACCGTTCTTGTGATCATTTTGACCCCACGTGGTGAGATCTTGCGTGGAGCCCCAGATCGAGGGAGATTATCAGTGGTCTTGTATGTCTTCCATTTCCTAATAATTGCTCCCACAGTTGATTTCTTCAAACCAAGCTGCTTACCTATTGCAGATTCAGTCTTCCCAGCCTGGTGCAGGTCTACAATTTTGTTTCTGGTGTCCTTTGACAGCTCTTTGGTCTTGGCCATAGTGGAGTTTGGAGTGTGACTGTTTGAGGTTGTGGACAGGTGTCTTTTATACTGATAACAAGTTCAAACAGGTGCCATTAATACAGGTAACGAGTGGAGGACAGAGGAGCCTCTTAAAGAATAAGTTACAGGTCTGTGAGAGCCAGAAATCTTGCTTGTTTGTAGGTGACCAAATACTTATTTTCCACCATAATTTGCAAATAAATTCATAAAAAATCCTACAATGTGATTTTCTGGAATTTTTTTCTCAATTTGTCTGTCATAGTTGACGTGTACCTATGATGAAAATTACAGGCCTCTCTCATCTTTTTAAGTGGGAGAACTTGCACAATTGGTGGCTGACTAAATACTTTTTTCCCCCACTGTATAGGAGATAGGGTGCCATTTGGAATGCAGACATAGATACATTAATGTGTGTATTGAGTACTGTATTAGGAGTCTGAGACAAATGGCAACATGAGGTTGTTTTTGGGATTAGTGATTGATAGCAAATGAGCAGAGTTTTTGCACAAACCTGTCCGTTCTACGTCGCCGGTTTGTTCCGACAGAATTAGAGGAGACAAAAATCATTCTTGCATGACTATTTACGCTGACGTCTGACTGTGGGGGGTGTTGCTCTCTTTTTTGAGTTTTGGTTTTGCTTGTTTGCTGGTTTGTTTATCCATTAGGAGAAGAGCTTATAGCTGTATTGCGATGTGTCTCTGTTGGGGGGAGCTTGTGTTGGTGTTATAACCCTTTAAGAAAAGCTGTAGATCTAAACATCTAACAGTCACCTTCTGGGGAGTGTGGCAGAGTGTGTGTATGTGACAGTGCTTCACAGTCTATGTGTGTGGCAGTGACATGATTGATGAGACATGAAGGGAGAACAAGGGAAGATGTCTAGTCAATCAACTCTGTGAATAACCACTTACTAGACTGTGGATTAAAGCTGTGTCGCCTGTCTGAACAAACCAAAACTCCCGTCCATTATCTTCACATGTAAAATCTGCTTCACTGTGTAAAGCAACATCCACAACAAATTAAGTCATTATAAAAATAGATGCTTTGTGTCTGGTTGGAATCGAGGGATGAAGAAAAGCCATCCAAGTAATCTAACAACCTGCATAGTGTCTGAGATGAGAATGATAATCAATAGTCCTTGACACTAACTCTCTTCCCTCCCTCTCTCTTTCTCGCTCTCTCCCCTCTCTCTCTCCTCAGGTGCAGGGACTGGAGAAGCAGGTGGCCAAGGGCTACCCGGGACTAGACCTGGGTCCGGCACGCTCAGTGATGAAGACCTTACCGTATGGCATGGGAGAGGGAGCTGTCGGCACCGGCGGAGGGGCCACGGGAGGAGTCAAACCCCCCTACCAAACCACCTCCCGCGTCTTCTCCACCGGCATGGACGGGGTTGGCAACCCGCCCATGAAGCCTCCTCTGAAAACCCCCACCTACAGCTTCTTTAACCCCTACGACTGGGCTCGTAATCAGTCGCTCCTCCACGACCAGACAGGCTACCGCAACAAACGCAAACCCTCGCTTAAGACGGCCCAGAAGACCAAGAAGATATTCGGCTGGGGGGATTTCTACTTCAACGTGAAGACCATGAAGTTCAGCCTCTTGGTCACGGGGAAGATCGTGGACCACATCAACGGCACATTCACCGTCTACTTCCGCCACAACTCGTCCAGTCTCGGTAACGTCTCTGTCAGTATTGTCCCTCCCACCAAGGTGGTGGAGTTTGAAGTGTTGCAGCACCACCAACCAGGCCTCCACGCACAGCTCCACCCAGAGCTCACCCAGATCACCCAACAACAGACCCCGCACCAGTCCACCATCGACCCCAAAGAGATAAAGACCTTCAACTGCCGGGTGGAGTACGAGAAGACCAACCGCTCCAAGAAGCCCAAGCCCTGCCTCTACGACCCCTCCCAGACCTGCTTCTCAGAGCACACTCAGTCCCATGCCGCCTGGCTCTGCGCCAAACCATTTAAAGTAATCTGCATCTTCATCTCCTTCTTCAGTATCGATTATAAGCTCGTGCAGAAAGTGTGTCCGGACTACAACTTCCAGAGTGATCATCCTTACCTTGGATAAGAGAGGAGGGATGAGGAGAGGGGAGGGGAAAGAGTCTTAAGTGCGTTTGAGGGGATCAGTTTGAGAAAGGGTCCAAACGCAGAATCGCTAATATTGATCAGAGAATGTGTAGTTATTTGGGATGCAAGGTGATTTGTAGATCAGTGATCCCGTGCAGTCCGACTCCAATGTATTGTTGTCGATCTCAAACACACACAATGACAGGACTGATGACCACGGGGATAGTCTTTTTCTGCTCTCAACCTCCTGTTGGATTGTGGATACTATAAATGAGAAGTACGGCTAGTTGGCATCATGGATGATATACATTATCTGGCAGATTTTTCAAAATGACCTAAAAACCTTTGTATTAGTTTACTTTAATTTCTATGTAAATAATGTTTAAAAAATCTATACAGCTCTGCTCTTTAGACATTGGTTATCAGTGTTAAATAATTTCTGTCTGTTGGAGAAATCGATTTAAACTTTCAAAACAAGCTGGGATGTATGGATGTTTGATTTTGATGATTTCATATTCTCTCTGATGATCTGAATGTGTCATGCTGTCCCTATTATACTATAATGCAGTACAATCTTGGAACCCAGAATCTTGGAACCCGGAACCAAATCTTGCGTGCATAACAGTTTGCCACAAGAGACTAGTCGTTGTATGGCATTATAGGTTGTAGAAGACTGTTATCATGTTTTCAGTCATATTTTTCAAATCTGGATTCAAGAGAATATATAGTCTTGGAGTTATATGTATGAGAAATGCTATGCTGGGTATGCATACAATATATGAACAAAGCACATTAAAATGAGCTTTAACTGTTTTTTTCAGGTCATTGAATAATGGTACACCATACTGGAATTTATTTTCACATTATTATAGTTCACTAAACAAATGTATTAGGCATTATATGAGTCAAGAGCATTGTATGAGGCATTATATAAGGGAATAAATATTCAACAAATGATAATATCTGATCAGGAATGTATTCAGCTGGAGTAATGTCGAAACCTAATTATTCTATAGGATTCTACTGTCCAATCAAAATGTTGTACATGTATGTCCAAAGAAATATAGATAATGGATACTCTTTTTGAGAATGTATGAATGGTTTAATTTTACATTGCGAGAGAAAATTTAAAAAATAAAGGAATCTTAAATTAATCTTCAGTTTGACATCATGATTTGTATTTATTTGCTTGAAAAGAAAATAACCACGCAAAATAATCTTCATTCAGATGTTTCTGACTTTCTTTCTCACCTTTCTATACCGGTCTTCTTATACTATGTATTACTGTCAGCTCTCTCTCTGTCTTGCTACACTTTCAGGGATAGACAAGGGTTTCCCAAACTCGGTCCCGGGGCCCCCACTGGGTGCACGTTTTGGTTTTTGCCCTAGCACTACACAGCTGATTCAAATAACCAACTCATCATCAAGCTTTGATGATTTGAATCAGCTGTGTAATGCTAGGGCAAAAAACAAAACGTGCAGATTTTCATTAAATAACCCAGTGCTTAATTGAATTGTGCTCGATATCCTATTATGTTCTTGATCAGTGACGTTCAGATGGAATGGAAGACCCCGGAGCTCTACTACACATGTATCTTCTGGATCTGCACAGGACACACACACACACACACACACCCCCCCCCCCCCACACACACACGCTCTTCTGGAGCTGTTTAGGATACACAGGACACAGAGATTTATGTAGTTCTACGTCCCAGGAGACCACCTCTTTATCACATCTCACTGTTGTGGTTGTGGTTGGGAAGGGTATCCATGTTATGCTCCATCTCCTTGACACTGACTCTCTGACACTCTTTCCCAGAAGAGTAATATGAGGATACGTGTGTGTATGTCTCTTTGTGTGTCTCTTTCTCTCTCGCTCTCTGTGTGCATGCACGTGTACAGTATGTGCATCTGTGTGCGTGTGTGCGTGCGTCTTCAATAATAAATCAGCCATGTAAAAAGTAACTACACAGGTCAAGCAACAACATGTTCTGTAGCGAGGACATTGCTTTGATATTGCATTCTCTTAAGCCTACTTGTCCACATTCACAGTGAGCAGCCTGTGTCAAGGCCCTGAGGACTGGGGGTGAACCCGATCAGACAGACTGCATCGCCAGCCCTGTAGTCTATAGTGCCAATTGTAGTATTTACAGAGCATATTTATTTTGAAGAATCTTTAGAGATGCAAGATAAGTAAACATATAGTCTACGATGGATGAAGGAGCCCTGCATGTTGAATGAATACGATATGTAGAAAGTAAGTATACATTAGATATTTTCTAGCTTCAAAATGTATTTTAAGTGTCCATCAGTCTGGTTTCAGGCCAGGCCATAGCACTATATCTGCTGCTTCTTTGGTGCTAAATTACATTGTACATTTTATGGACAAAAGGCATTGTGCTGCCCTTTTTAATAGACCTGGCAAAGGCTTTCAACACTATTGACCATTCATTATTAAGTCGTAGACTGTTTGCAATTGGCCTGCATTTGGTTTGAAAACAAACTGAAAGACTGGCTGTGTTTAAAAATGCGTACTTGTGTTCTATCTAGAGCGTATAGCAAGGACAGAAGACAACTGTCATTTTTCAAATGCAATTCCAACATAGAGATAGATAGAGGACTCATCTTTGTATTTGTGCCATTATACCGTCCATGATGAGTACAAAGCATAGGAGCATACTTGTACTGTCTTTGCTTTTTCGTTCCCTGTGCCGGGGAGGCTATCCCATAACACCTTGGGTCGCAGCGAAATTCCCAAAACATCTGAATTAATGGAGGACAATGTACTTTTACTTCACTACATTCCTAAAGAAAATGATGCACTTTTTACTCCATACCTTTTCCCTGACACCCAAAAGTACTCGTTACATTTTGAATGATTAGCAGGACAGAAATTGTCCAATTCACGCACTTATCAAGAGAACATCCCTGGTCATCTCTACTACCTCTGATCTGGTGGACTCACTAAACACAAATGCTTTGTTTCTGAATGATGTCAGAAGGTTGGAGTGTGCCCCTGGCTATCTGCAAATTTTAAAAAACACAAACAATTGTGCCATCTGGTTTGCTTAATATAAGGAATTTGAAATGATTTATAATTTTTGCAATTACATTTCCTTTTGATACTTAAGTATATTTAAAACAAAATACTTTTAGACTTTTACACAAGTAGTATTTTACTGGGTGACTTTCACTTTTACTTGAGTCATTTCCTATTAAGGTATCTTTACTTTTACTCAAGTACAATTGGGTATTTTTTTCCACCACTGTATATATACAGTTGAAGTCGGAAGTTTACATACACTTAGGTTAGAGTCATTAAAACTCGTTTTTCAACCACTCCACAAATGACTTTAAAAAAAACTATAGTTTTGGCAAGTCGGTTAGGACATCTACTTTGTGCACGACACAAGTAATTTTTCCAACAATTGTTTACTGACAGATTATTTCACTTATAATTTACTGTATCACAATTCCAGTGGGTCAGAATATTAAATACACTAAGTTGACTGCGCCTTTAAACAGCTTGGAAAATTCCAGAAAATGATGTCATGGCTTTAGAAGCTTCTGATAGGTTAATGGATATAATTTGAGTCAATTGGAGGTGTACCTGTGGATGTATTTCAAGGCTACCTTCAAACTCAGTGCCTCTTTGCTTGACATCATGGGAAAATCTAAATAAAACAGCCAAGACCTCAGAAAAAAATTGTAGACCTCCACAAGACTGGTTCATCCTTGGGAGCAATTTTCAAACGCCTGAAGGTACCACATTCATCTCTACAAACAATAGCACACAAGTATAAACACCATGGGATCAAGCAGCCGTCATACCGCTCAGGAAGGAGACCCATTCTGTCTCCTAGAGATGAACGTACTTTGGTGCGAAAAGTGCAAACCAATCCCAGAACAACAGCAAAGGACCTTGTGAAGATGCTGGAGGAAACAGGTACAAAAGTATCTATATCCACAGTAAAACAAGTCCTATATCGACATAACATGATAGGCCAATCAGCAAGGAAGAAGACACTGCTCCAAAACCGCCATAAAAAAGCCAGACTACGGTTTGCAACTGCACATGGGGACAAAGATTGTACTTTTTGGAGAAATGTCCTCTGGACTGATTAAACAAAAATAGAACTGATTGGCCATAATGACCATCGTTATGTTTGGAGGAAAAAGGGGGTTGCTTGCAAGCCGAAGAACACCATCCCAACCGTGAAGCACGGGGGTGGCAGCATCATGCTGTGGGGGTGCTTTGCTGCAGGAGGCACTGGTGCACTTCACAAAATAGATGGCATCATGAAGAAGGAAAATGATGTGGATATATTGAAACAACATCTTAAGACATCAGTCAGGAAGTTAAAGCTTGGTCACAAATTGTTCTTCCAAATGGGCAATGACCCCAAGCATACATGGCTTAAGGACAACAAAGTCAAGGTATTGGAGTGGCCATCACAAAGCCCTGACCTCAATCCTATATCAAATTTGTGGGCAGAACTGAAAAAGCGTGTGCGAGCAAGGAGGCCTACAAACCTGATTCAGGGGCGGCAGGTAGCTTAGTGGTTAAGAGCGTAGTGCCAGTAACTTAAAGGTCGCTGGTTCTAATCCCCGAGCCAACTAGGTGAAAGATCTGTTAATGTGTCCTTGAGCAAGGCACTTAACCCTAATTGCTCCTGTAAATCGCTCTGGATAAGAGCGTCTGCTAAATGACTAAAAATGTAAAAATTTAGTTACACCAGCACTGTCAGGAGGAATGGGCCAAAATTCACCCAACTTCTTGTGGAAGGCTACCCAAAACGTTTGACCCAAGTTAAACCATTTAAAGGCAATGCTACCAAATACTAATTGAGTGTACATAAACTTCTGACCCACTGGGAATGTTGAAAGAAAATAAAAGCTGAAATAAATCATTCTCTCTACTATTATTCTGACATTTCACATTCTTAAAACAAAGTGGTGATCCTAACTTACCTAAGACAGGGACATTTTACTAAGATTAAATGTCAGGAATTGTGAAAAACTGAGTTTAAATGTATTTGGCTAAGGTGTATGTAAACTTCCGACTTCAACTGTATATATTAACTTATTTACGGATATCTTCACAACTACCCACAATGCACTATTTCTCAACGTTATATGGAGGATCTACTCTGTGCTACAGAGTTCGTATGTTAGCTCGGTAGCAAGCACAAGCTGGCTAACGTTAGCCACACCTCATGCGCTTCACAGACTTTGTGGCTGTGTTATCTTGTGGGAACCCGTTAGCACTGTAGGTTCTGGTGCCTTCTTGCCGTGGGCTCAAAACGAAAGAGAAAATCATACCTGCTTGCTCTAATTGTGTAACCTCATATATTAAGATTGCAGCGTTGAGGAGGGCGCGCGTCTTGCCGGTTCCTGCCTGACATTGCTTTTTTATGGCTATTTGTTGCATACATTTTATTTTGCTTGCTCAGAATGTTCGTGGAATAAATTCTTACGACCGGCAAACACTTTTGGATCATGAATTGGAAGATACACACTTATCTCTCAGCCTCCCAGATCTAGAATACTACATTTGCTACTTTGTTCCCCACATTGCAGGATTACCTGTTGCTCCTGGCCGAGATGACCTAAGGCCATGCCTTAGAAGAAGAAAAGGAAGGAAAGGGGAACTCCAAGCTAGGCTGAAAAGACGGGCTACACGGCCTCCTCTTCCTAGTATCCTGATGGCTAATGTCCAATCGCTAGAAAATTTTGTTCACTTTGTGAACTCAGAGCAAGTCTTTAATCGCAGAGGGACATCAGGGAATGCTGTGTCTTTGTTTTTACTGAGACCTAGCTTACGGACAAT